GGTAAAACCCCGAGCCAGACAGTTCCAGCGTGCCTACCAGTGAGCAGCCCGCTTCTTTCCCACATGCCGGAAACTCCGCGTCGCAGGGCGGAAATGGATACAAGAACTCCGTTGCCAAGCAACAAGGAAGCAGTCCGATTCACCGAGCGCCCCCAATGGACTCAAAGGAGATGTTGCATGCAAAAAGGGGTGAACGCGTTTTTCCCTTTTCAGTAGAAATGTATCACTTTTTGGCGTTTAACCACATGTACTTTTTGTTACGACAAATTCATTAACTTTGATTGGCAAACATCAAAGCTGGGAGGCTCCATTTGTCAAAGTCAGTGATAACATCAACAATTGATGTGGATACGGGAATACGGACATAAAACAATGTTTAGCAAAAGTATTTTTGAGTTTTACAGTTTTTTTCCTTGTTAGATTCGTTTTGCTGGTGGATAATGGATGGATATCTTGATGTTCATCTTACACTGAAGCACCAAAGTGACAGCTGCATTAAATATCATATGGATGGGACAACTTTCTGAACCTGTAGCAACATGGTGAAGAAACTATGAGTTATTGCAGAGACGTGCAATTTTAAGCACATTTTGGCTGTGAAGGCAAAATGTGCGTCAGAAGAAGCTATTTTTCAAGTTAAGCTGGGATACAGTCACATTCAATTAATTAGAATAATTTAAAAATTCATTATTTCAGTAACTTGTGATTAATCATGAATTAATTATTTATTAATTACACTCAGACTGATGTTTTCAAGCCTTAAATTATATTCCACTTACAGTTACAGCTCATGAAAACATGACATTCAGAATATCACATCAGACCCATTTAAAAACATGTTGTTCTTTTAAAGGGACAATGTTGTGTATTTTTCAGGCATATAATGCCTTCTGACAGCACCATCAAGCAACTATGTTACATTCAGTTGTTAAAAAATATCCCACATCAAATACGACTTTGAAAATGACTGTAAGTTAGCGCCTTGAAATTGGGCTTCTGTCTCTTTAAAAACTCCTGGTCTTTCAGAAAATCTGCCTTGAGGATGTCTTGATAACGTCACTCCTCTGTTAACCCTTTAACAACGTTTTCACCAGGGTTTCACTGGTTGGGGTTGTCCATAATTTTCGCCATTTTGTGACAGGAATTGTGAATTCCCATTATGTTGTTAGAAAAAAAAAAAGAAAACCCTCTTTACTTTGTCCTCAACATCAATTATCCATCGTGTTCATCATTCGTCTTTATAGTATATAAATGCTCGTTTCACTTTGCCAGACATTTATGGATTTCCGGTGCTCAAAGACTGTGGTTGGGTGTCTTTGCCATAATAGCTTTATAAAACAGTCTATAACTTTTTGAAGAGCTACTTGCCAAACACCAGAGATTCACTGGTTTTAAGATGAAAAGCATGTTACCCTTTCATAGCTCTTACTCGAATTAAAACAACAACAACAACAACAAAAAAAGTAAGTGGAACACAAGCCGAATCTAAATGGGACACAAATAAGAAACATGTTTTTTTTTTACTTGCCAAGAGAGGGACTGCTCCACTTTCACAGTGACATCATTCCGACATCTACAGACTGCATCAGAAATAAGTTTTGGCATCTTTGAGGATGTTCAGATAATTCAAGAATTACTTGTCTTGAAGTCCACTCATTTTGAATGTTAAACTCTTGAACAGTTCTAGATTTGATAGTTTATATGTTTCCACCTCTTTCAGCAATGTCCTTTGAGGGATGTTGCTTGAATGAACTGTTTCCAAAAAAGGGGTTGCTGAAATTTACCATACATGTCATGGTCTCAGGCATGATGATAAAGTAATTTATCACAGCTGTTTCAGGGCATTATTTTAGTGGGCCCGTGATTTTCCATACTGGGACAGGGGAAAAAAACAAAGAAGGCTTTTAACTTCTGTTTTGAAAATTGTAAAACATGATCTGACTCATTATTTTTAACATAAAATTTGACCTTATTCCCGTTTTACTGCTGCTTTATAAAAGCACCCCTTTTTATATTCTTCCTCCTCCTGCAGTGTGTTGTTACATTTTAACAATATCATCTAGTTCTTTGCAGTAATTGCAGCAATTTACCTGCAGATATATTGAAAATAACTGCAACATGTGAGATCTAAAACCGATTCGCTTAGTTTTTTTCACCTTGCCAGCAGTGGTGAGACGTGTGCGCTGCCGGAACACGCAGTAAAGATGGCGTGACTCAATATCCCACATCATCTTCTCTGTTCTTCTGCTCTGGAACAAAAACACTTAGTAATCCTTATAAAAGCCATAAACATTGACGAGTCATTTAAAGCCAGACAGATCGCTGACTAGTTACGGTTATGGTAACTTTGCTAAATACAAATACATGTGTTACTCATTTGCAGTGAACCTTTTCAGCTTTTAAAGAAATGACCCATGAGAGACACTCAACTGAATGTAATCAACCATTTCTCTAGGATTTTATGAGTCCATGAAAGAAAAACCTACTGCACTCGAAAATGAACATCCGTTTCGTGCAACCAGTGACACAGAATGACAGATGCAACCAGCCAGGGTAGCTTGAGGGAGTTTAAGCACTTTATTAATCACAATAAAGTGCTTAATAAAGAAGAGCTCATAAAGAAGTCCATCATAATTTCTGGACTTCACTAAACAAAGTTTGATTTCCGTGTGTCCATATCAAAACAGATCAATAGGTAAGAAGGAATTTAACACGGGATATTATGGTAACCATGTAGCTACCACGTAGCAGCTAAATTGTGGCTGCTTAATCCATGCTAGCAACTCATATTAAGTTTGTCGACAGGAACATTAATGTCGTTACCTGTTTCACATGCCTGGCCAATAATGGCAGGAATAAACTCAGTCATCTTGAATTTTGCTGCAGAAGCTGTTCTCATAGTTGCTTTCCACATGTTAAAAACAAATATTTATTGTCACAATAGGAAGAGCAAAGGGTCAAGGAGGCGACATTAGTCTACAGGTCAGCAGCAGGATAAGGATGAAGGGTCTTATCAGGTAAGGAGGGATTATAACTCGATGAGAAACAGAGAAGGAAATAGAAGGTTAGTGGAGCAATTTTAGTGCTTTCCCTTTGCAGAATTGTTGTCTATGCAATGGAAGTATGATTGTTCACTTTTCTGCAGGGTTGTTTTGGGGAGGCTTTCCAGGACTATTAGTTATTTGGGTAGTTTTTAGGTCCCTGTATGCCAAAACAAAAACTGTAGCTGAATTCTTGACACAAAGTTGGTCTTAATTCCAATGTTCCCTGTTTTTGACACAAATTAGCAGGATTGGCTGGCATCCGAAGAGTTCTGTTGCGTTTTTCAGGCCATAAAATTCAACTCACACTGGAGCCATTTATTCAACTCACACTGGAGCCATTTACAGCTGAGTGTGAACTCCCAGGGCAATTCAGCTCCTTCAAGTCTCAGGTCGGCACGATCTGATCTTAGATGAAAGGGAGAAAAGACATGGATTGATGCATAGATAGATCTCCAAAAGTTAGATCTGCTGCGTAAATACAGACTTAACTTAACAGAAAGTACAAATATCTATTCCAGTTCTCTGTCCTCATCTGTTATGAGAGTATGGCAGTGATACTTTTCTCTCTGGTCTAAAGTTTTTTAGCGTCTCCGTGCAAAAGGGTGCAAACACAGAATACCCTATCAACAGATTTCCTTCGGGAAGGAAAGGTTTATGAGATGTATCAAGTTCAGCTGTGTAATTCTCAACCTTAGACTCTGTTCGTCCTTACCCATTGTGTTTTTTTTTTGTTGTTTTGTTTTGTTTTTTTATGCTCTCGTCTTGTCGGGTCTTCCCGGCTCCGTTGTTAACAGCCAGACTCAGACCTCACTGCCTTTGCAGATATTGCCCCTGTCTGCGCATGTAGCCTTTAATATGGGACACATGTGGTTTTCTGTGTTTATGCTTGCACAAAAAATGCAATCCTGCTGTTATGAAGCTTCATAATTAAGAGTAAATCATTGTTATAGAACAATTTTTCATCCTCAGAGGTTCATCAAATTGCACAGTAGCTATGTGCCTTTTTTTTTTTTTTTTTTTTAACCACGCAGAAAAATAAAGAATCATGCAGATTTCTTTATGCCGGGTTTTGAAACAAGGTGACAGCACCCACGTAGATTATGGAGAGATGTTGCTATTTTCTCAGAGCTAATTGTTTGGTTTTGGTGGTAAGAATAAACACCGTCTCATCATTAATGACGCAGAATGAAAACCGTGTAGACAAACTGTTGAAGAGTTCACGCTTATTCAGAGGTGGATTTACAAAGCAATATGTTTCACCATGCTGTCCATTTATGCACTGTGGATCCAAATATGAAAAATAATTGATGTTTCAGGACGAAAATGTCCAAACGCAGTCAGCGCCTTTCTTTCACACATTGCAAGTTGTGACAATTTGCATTTGGTGTGACTGTGCTGCATCCTTTCTGTTGCAGGGATCTCGCTGCCGTCGGTCGGCTCCAGCCTCACGTCCTTCCTACTGGGAATACACGGCCTTGAGCCTGAAACCTGTTTACGTTTTGAGCATGTTACAAATTATCTGCTAAGACTAACTTTGCGTGACTTGGCAGAAGCCCTCACCTTGCTCAGATGTTGTTTGGGTCAATCGTATTTCATGGGCTTGCTCTCTCAATTTCACTGTCTCCATCTGACAGGGGTTTTCCAAGCCAGATGTGAACCCTGGCAAAGCGTGCTCTCTGTGTCGGTGAGCTTTTTTGGGGGGGAATCCACTTTTGTGTTTAAATAACTAAATGCATGTGTTGGCAGCCTGCCGGTAAGTCTGCAATATTAGTTTTTACACCGACAAGACTCTACTTTTACTGTACATAAAGTACACTTTGGTGCATCTTCCATCATAAATTCATAATCGTACCCCTTGTGGCGTATTTTGTGTAGGTCTGTCTTACCAGATTGGTTGAACCTGTGTTGTTGTCTCAGGATTGTCCAGGGACACAAGCATTTTCCCCAAAATTTATTGACAACATGCAAATAATCATCCGAAGAACAATGGAAGCATTTGAATTTGATACATTGAGTTTGCTTTACTGGTAATAGATTTTCTCAACAGGATAATGCAAAGTCCAGAATTAAAGAGTACATTAGGCTGCCGAAACGGGGTCATTTTACCATAACACTGAAATCACAGCAAATAACAGATTCGACCTCTTTGTTTAAGTACGACTATATCATAGTGAATATTACAGACATGCAAAAGCTGAGAATAAATACCATGTTTGTCTTTATTGTCGTTAATAAACAGAATAAATAATGCTGAATGTCATCACAGTATACAACACAAACCTCTGTCTTCAAGTTCCCCCAGAGCTTTCTAGTCTTAACGTCATTGTAGTTTATGGCAGGATAAAGGCTCGGTTCATAAAGTTCACATGCAGTCTCACCCAAGCACAAGTGGCTGTGAAGATGAACAAAACAACATCTGACAGAGAGCTGTGTGTTTTCATTTCAGTTTTGACGTCCTGTTGACAAGTCGACTTAAGAAGTTTCATAAGCGAGGGGACATGAGTTTATTTTGAGGTTTACTCTACCCTCTAGTGGAGGGGAAAAGAGATGCGCAGTGAAGCTTTGCTTCAGCATGTTGGCTTCGTGCAAAGAAGGGAATTGGGGGGCCACAGCCAAAACTCTGGTAATATTTTGTTACGGTAGAGTACCAAATATTGTATCTGTGGGTATTTTTCAACCTCAGTACAACAGGAATGTCTTAAAAGGAATATAAAGAAAAACCCTTAAAAACAAATATCTTTTGGTGTAGGGATCATTCTAACTCATTACGATATTTGCTCTGTATACATATCTGCATGTCTGTTCAGCAGCAGCAAAACCTTTCAGCGTTTTAAGATGAAATATTGACAATGAAAAGGGAGTCAGTGAGCAGCTACAGTGTACTTGACCAGAGTTCATGCAGAAAATCACACACACACACACACACGTACACACACTCATCTGTCACAATAAGCTTGACTTGCTGTTTATTCATATTTTCATTAACTACATGCACTATGTCAGCTCTGTATGAATGTATCTGGTGCAGTGGAAGGTAAAGACAAGCCCAGCTTGCTTCAGCACTTTTTGGTCAAACCAACTATCCCCTCTAAATAATTATTTCTTTCCTTTTCTCTACCTTTCATTTCTTTTCTTTTCTTTTATTCTTTGATAAAATACGTCCCCTCATCCGGCAGCCTGATTGCAAATCATTTGTAAGGAATACAGTCCAGACTGCATGTAGATGGTTTTTTTATGATTTGGTAAGAAAATACTTCTGTTTTAATACAATTTATAGTATTTACTTCAAAATAACTTCAGTCCATGTTTGCAGTTTCAGTATCTTGTGTGATGGAGATTGTCGTAGCTTATGATACGTTCGTTTTGCAGTTATTGATACGACTCAATAGGAGAGCGGAGAGTGATGCTGGTAATGAGACTACATGTGTCTGGTATGATATACACACATAAATGTGACCTGAGTCACACACTCTGGGACAAAGTCTTTAGTTTCTTCACTCCACTCTCCTCTCCTCCTCCCAGCATTTCATCGGGATGAAGTGAGAAGCTATGCTTGCCTTCCTGGTCCTCTTCCCTTTCATTGGCCGGCCCCTCTGATTTAGCGCGATGAACATTTCCTTTTCAGTCCACATTGCAGAGGAGTAAGCATTGTAGTGGTTCTCTAGGAAACCCTCCTTAAAGTCGCAGTTTTTCCTGTAGGTCTTCTGCAATGACAACACATCAAACCTTTATTGCAACGTTTCAGGACTCTTGACACGTCAGTTCAACGCTGAATGAAAAGTATTACCTTGGCTTGCAGATTTCCAGCCTTGGTCATGCAGATGTAATACTGGCTCTTTACAGCTTTGATGGCCAGTGTGGGCCCCTCGGACACCGTTCTGATCTCCAGGATACCTGCCAGGCAGTAAAGAAATGAGACACACTGCAGAAAAGATAAGGATGTCAACATCCATCTTTCACTCTAACTCCACGCTGACCTCAACATTCATCTTCATTAACGACACAAGATGGAGGTTCCTGCAATTAATCAGTCTGTGGTCTTTCTGGCTCAGTTCAATTGCCTGGGTGGCCATCAGACAAACCACAACCTGTGCCATTGCACATATGGGAGACAGATTAAGCTTCTCTCCCGTGAGATTGAGAAAACTGCCTCCCTGCATGTGCTTTGCACGCTACAGTCTACCTCTGCTCTTCAAATTTGTAGCAAGGCAGAACATTTGTGCTCCGTTTTATTGCTTGTTTTGTGTTTCGAGAAAATATATGGTGCCAATAGAAAAGTGAGGTACACAAAAATGTTTGAGTCAGATCCAAGTAAGTTGTTTTAAATGAAGGAAGTGAATGAAAGTCCTACTACTTATCTACAGTATTATCAGAGGTGGGTAGTAACTCGTTACACATAATTTTGGGGGGGTAAAAAAGTGCTTTTAGGAGCAGTTTTACAAGGCTGTACTTTTTGCTTTTACTTCAGTAATATTATTATAAAATATCTCTAGTCTTAGTTGAGTAAAATGTTCAAGTACTCTATCCACTGTGACTTGGAAACAAGCTTATTTTAACAAAATATCAACTAGAAACACACCTACAGTTTTGGTTAAAGTGGGATAATGTGTTTATACATAAGCTTTGTTCGCTGTGCCATTTGGAGGTCGACAGATTATATAATACACTGCATGAATCGTCATTGGAAGTTTTTATTTATTTGTTTTTTTCTGTATTTGTATTACCTGCAGTAAGTTTCAGTGCTCTTGGTTTTATATTGAAAGAAATTTAGCTAGAAAAAGTGTTTCTTTTACCCAATCTTGTTAAAATCCAACTAAAGATCCAGCCAAAATTTCCACATAACCATACTTTTGTCCATCTGACAGAATCTTGAAAATGAAATAATTTACGTTTTGATCAGTCACTCAGTATTTGAGTAGCCTTCCTGGACAGCTACTTTTTTCTTTTACTTGAGTAAAAATATGTTTAAGTCGTTCAACTCTGTCCATGTCTGAGTATCATGTAAAACAACGTATAAAGCAGATGACAGTGGGGTAATTTGTCTGTTGAATAGATTTAAAACTTGTCTAAATGCAGCAATATGTAGGGTTTACTATGCTGTTCTCCTCACTGACTCCAGCGAATGAATAAACCATAAAATTCAATTATTATCTTTTACATACACAAATTAATTTTATGAACAATAACATGGTCCAGATGACAGAGGTATGGTTAAGTTAAAGCTCCCGTGTCACTTTCAGTGTTCTATGTAAAAAACATATTTCATTTGACAAGCAGATAGAGGAAAAAAAAAAAGAAAAGGAAAACTCTTCTGAGGTTCTTGAGATTGACATTAAGCATGCAAGCATCTTTGCCAGATCACAAACAGATGGTAGCAACCCAATCTGGAGATGTTGTTTGCTCTCTGCTCGCTCTTTTAATTTGTCCTTCTAATTGTGAGCATCGACTGCTTTGCTCAAGTTATTCTAACCCAGCCTTCCTGATCTGCTGATTGAACTCATGATGACTAAAGGTACAGCTGATGTTGAATTCATGTTAAGTTTGAAATCAGTCATTCATTTGTTCTTTTACAGTCGTTTCATTTGGGAGCAACGGGACATGTTGCTGCTTTTAATGCTTGGTAATGTAATCCGCTGGCCAGCTAATGCTCTTTATCAGTTCCAGTCATTTGGTGCATCATGAAAAGATGAAGCACATTTCCACAGACGTGCATACACACATTTAAAACATTTTGGCTCTGAAGCAGAGAGCCTCTCAGGCAATCACCAGCTTAAATAGATTTGCCATCACTTGCTGCCTCTGGCGAGGCAAACAATCTTGTGGGTAAAAACCCCAATCCTGATTTCTCTGAAGATTGCTGAAGCTCGGATTTGCTTTTGGTGCTAAAGTTCCAGCAGACAGCCTTTTAAGACCAGGATACTGTAGTGTTTTTTTTTTTTAATTATGTTGTTCTGTCACGCTGACGCTAAAATCCCTTACATGTTCTCAACCAAAAGGAGCAAAATTTGTAATATTTTAACATCGGCTGCAATATTTTCTTGGCTAGTCCTATGTTTTTCAGGTCTTTCCTATGTCTTTCAGCTGGCAAATTTTGCATGTTTTAAATACTATTGGATAAAGAAAAAGAAAAAATGATATCTGTGGCCATGCCTTAACATGGGCATGTTAGGGCAGTGACTTTTTACACAGCTGAAAACACTAAATGCATTCATTTCATGTCAAAATTTATATAAATGAACATTTCATTCCAGTTTATTTGCACATTTTCATTTAAAAAAATGTTATAGCAGTAGATCTTTACCCTATAAAGAAATAGTTTTATAATTTGATGGCGGTATCAGTTTTAGTACTGCCATGGAAAGCTTTGAAGGTAAGTAAAAATGTATATTATTTTAAACAATATAAATTACAGTATAAGTAAAAAAAAAGTCAAATATATTATACAGAATAAAAGATAAGTTCAGTGGAAGTGGCTGTTTTGGTCCATATACTGCACAATCCCATAACACGGTTTTTGTCGTTTTGAGAAAAGAAGTCGAGTAATCTCTAAACTTTTTTAAAAAATTCCCAGCCAGTGTCATCAAAGATTGTTGATTAAAAAACAACAACAAAAGAACATTTATTTGGCTCTTTGCGTGCAAGTCCCAGCCACATGTGGGTGTCTCAGATCTTCAGTCTTTCATTTCCAGTTGTTGCGCAATACATCTTTTCCATGAGGCATCTTCTTTTAAAGCCAACATCTTTCCCTCTGCCACACTGTGAGATAGGAGGAAACGACAACCACGCAAAACACCCTCACTGTGACCGAGAGCTTTAGTCACATCCCTAAATGTAAACGTCAAAAAAATGAATTTTCCACCGCGGTAATTTGAGCAGATAACCGCGTTAAACTGCTGCTGTCAAAGCTGCCAAATAAAATGTGCCGCTCTTTAGTTGTGCTGGCAAGAGCTGAATGGTGCAGCAAACGTGCGTTTGTTTCAAGGTGTTTGAATTTGAGATTTTAGCAGTGGTTTGTTTTTACTTTTCTCCGTAGCAGCCAGAATTTGGCTTTAACCTGCTTTAGTTTGTTTCTGTCCTTTGTAATATCAACACCACACATTACATCTCCTTATTGCTTCTTTCAAACTGGCCACAGTAGATCTTAAAAAGTACTACATCTTAAGAGAAAAACATGATTATAAATTATCTTCATTCTCTTTTAAAGCAACATTTTCTGCATGTAAAAAAAAAAAAAAAACTCAGACAAACCTGTAATTAGCCCAAGCAATTAAAATAAGACCACATCCTTACTGTAGCAGTTGGTAGGATCTTGAGTTCCCGTAATGTTGCCCGAGTCATCAATCGTGAGGAACCACTGCGTGCCGCTGAACAGCTGTCGAATGCGCACATCTCCTCCCTCCATGTAATCATAGTTCCTGGTGTGGCGCTCGTGTTTAGAGCAGTTCATGATGGCAACGCGTTGCTCGGGGGTGCAGTCACTGTAGACCACACACACGCTGCCAAACAGAAAGATCGCGTGCAGGTAGAGTCCTGAGAGCAGACTTTGAAGGTTCCATGTCAGCATCCATTTGCGCATTATAATGCAATGCTGAGGGGATCAATGAGAAACATGCTGAGAAGCGAACTCAAGAGCTGAGCGCTGTTCCTCAACCCGGCGACCTCCTGACCCCTGCCTTGCAACCTTCAGGTCTTTGTTTCAGGGACTCCTAGAGGGATGGGAGGAAGAGTTTGTGAGGTTGGGTTGAGTTCAAAGGTGAGATGTCTCAGGAAAGAAAAAAAAAAAAAGCAGTCAGAATGGGGACTTTAAAGGTTTGCTATAGTCCATATATACAGAGTTCATCAACTGCTTGATCCCCTTGAGATGATAGTCCAACAAGCAATGTAATAATCCAGATTAGGGATGGCTGTACTGGTTGTCTCTGTAAAAAAGATCAATTCGCAAGATGTCTTATCACATAGGTGTTGAATAATGCAAATAGATCAATAAATATTCAAACACTTGTGTTTTAAAGTTTATATCTCTATATTATAGTACAAATAGCCTCTTACAAAAATGTATTTTAAATAGTAAATCAGAATTTTACCAATGATTTTCTTTCCTTTTGGAAGTCATGCCTCCAACAGAGTAAAATAATACTTCAGATTGCTTTGCAACTATAAAGTCTCTCCTCTTTCGGCAAGAGGAGAGACTGAACAAACAATATCTGTGGATCGTCAACTTACATGCGCTCTGAGCGATGACGAACGTCGTCAGATGCGTGCCCGCTTTTCAGCACCAGGGATGAGACTCTTCGGGTCTGAAGCTGCAGTTAAACCCAGGTAAACCCAGCTCAGTGATGCAACAAAGCCAAGCGAGAGGTGAGAACCGCTGTCAGTCCTCATCTAGGCTTCCCTGCCTCTGGCAAAGCTGACTCTGTGCATCCTCCGTTGTGCACCCCGCTTAGATAAATGCCTGCTGCTGACCTCACTTGAGAGCAATTAGATCCCAACCAGTCAGCTGTCCATGGCTCAGATGCCGTGGAGAAACACCCTCTCTCTGGCGCACGTTGCCACTCGCCCACCAGACATGAGAGGGAGCTATAAACGCTTGGAAACACCACTCTGTTCTGTGCACGAGCTCCAAAGTACTGTAAAAACATGGACACGCACACCCATTTGTGGGGTATTTTCCGCAACTTCTCTTAGCAATGCTCTAAATGGCTTTTTGTGTTGCATATCATAACTCTGACTCACTTTCACTCAAAGGAAGGCTTAGATATTCACTCAAGTTACAAAGCTTCACAGACTCTATCTCCTTTCATTTCAGATGTCATAATTAATTTGTGGTTTTGACTTGGCTCACTGAATCGTGAGAGGATTTATCGGCTTGAGTGAAAACATCAAAGAGGTCTTTTAGCTCTCACTCAGATCCAGCATAATAGTGGGAAGCAATAAGTTATGCTTCACAGATTTTCATCCAGAGAAAGAAAAACAGAAGACATGACTAGTGAGAGGAAGTCGTCGTCTCCTTGTTAGAGGTCATGCACCCTTTCGCCCTCTTTGTTTTTTGCATTCAAAGTCTTGTTTTATTGCTCTGAATACTTCCCTTAGACTTCCTACTTCAAAAGTTTATATGCGTCTCTATAAAGATGCGCCTGCCACTGAGAAGGTCAGGACTCCGGCAGCAGCAGCACCACTGATCTCTCACGTCACTCCGGCTTGTTCAGCTGTCCTTTACATCACCGCAGAGACAGTTCATGTTCTGGTCTTGCGCATTAGCAAAGTAAACACCAGTTGAACAGAAATAACACAACATGACTTGTTGCACATGCGCCATATTTCAGACTGGTTTACCTAAAATCACGCGGGAGTGTTTTCTGAAAGGTTGTTTCCCACGTTGGAGGGGTCTCTGAAACAGACCAGGGGCATGTAGCACCTGGTGAAGTCCCCCGAGGCAGATTATTTCAATGAGAGGGGCCAGACACAGTCAGGATTCCCAGAACCACATGAAATGAGTGACCTTGCCTGGAATTTGAAACCTGGACCCCCTTCTTGCAGACAGGCTTGCAGGAAGAGTTGCAGGTGAGACCTTAGGGGATTGCATGGAACAATGCATTTGTCCCTGTTGGCTGTGTTTTATTGGGGAATCTGTGTTTGGTTATGTTGGCACACCATTTGGGTGACAACTTGAGATGAAAGGTCTAACCCTTGAGTTTGAAATGACCCCAAGTCGCTGGGAAACAAGGTAGAGCAGGTAGGAGAGTGGCCTTGGCCTTATGACTTCACCACAGAGAGTAGCACTCTGTCCTTTTGTAAAAAGCCTAAAAAGTGTTAGACAAACTACCCACATCCCTGCTGCCATTGGCTGTTTCTTTTTTCAAAAGAATGACAGCAACTCATTTATGAACTTTATATTTTCGTGTTGAATGATCTGCCTTTCGTGTGTTTTTGTGCACTAGTGTTGGGAAGTATCCATGGCTGCAATCTTTTATTTGTTCCCGGAGATGGTGAAGATAAGGCACAATCTGTGATGTCAGCTTCAGGGTGTTTCTGTTAGAAACAGAGGCTGGAAATGAACTTCTCTCATTTTAAGTCGCTTCCCAAACGGCAGGTGCCGTGAATAAAACGATACAATTACACAACATGAATGGTATGACTGTAAGATGTACAACAGAAAATGCAATATTTACTTTGCTTCATTTTTAAGTGATTTCTGTGAAATAAAATGTATTTCTTAAAAAAGTAACATTTTTTTAAGTCATCTACAGGCCTGTGGAAAGTCTTGCACTTGCACGAAGTTGAGCAGTCTCCTCCCCTAAACTCTTGTACTGTTTGTGCCAAGGTCCTATAGATTTTGGCCCAGCGACAGTAAAAATGCACACGCACCTGGTGCTTTAAGCCCTAATCATGCAACTTAATAGTCACAAAACGAGATGAGAACAGTAAAGGGGAGTAAAATAATGTGTGAATTTACAGAGCTTTTACGTTCCAAGACTTTAGTTGTTACAGATCCATCTCCATAAAACACCTAAAGGTTGGCTGGCCGGCCGGCAGTCATCAGCTGCTCCACACGCATCTAACGTGCTTGTTGCTATGGGTAATGAAATAAAGTAACATGCAGTACGTTGCAACAGAGCCCACGCTTTTGAATATCTGGAACTACTTCACTCATGCCTCTGAAGGCATTCGTCTGATCGATGAACTCTTTAACTTGAGACAGAAGGCCTTATTAAAGTTAGAAATCCAACAAGTTCCAAAAGGTTTAATGAAATTTAATCAAAAAAGTTTATTTAGCTTTTTTTTGTAAAATGGACTGTTTCGAAAGATGGTTTAGAGAAATTTATCTAGTTTTGATGACTCTGTCAACAGCTGTTTTGTCAAACATTGTTTTTTTTACGGCATCATATCCCAACTATGATATGATGCATATCATCTTGCATATCAGGCTGTGTTAGAGGGATGATTGGCAGCACTAAGTCCCACCTCTTGGCTCTGATTGGTTGTTTCCAGATCGCATTGACAGCTTGATTTTTTTTCACAGATTATCTGTCTCATACCTTACTGTCACGACACAATAACAGTTTCAACAAACATGCTAAAAAAACAAAAAAAAATTTATCAAAAAATGTTACATGCTGCTAAGCAAGTTTTATGTTCGTGCCCTGCTAAGAAAAAAAACGTGCACTTGAATCTTTTGTTGCTGTTTCTGCACTTACTTGAATGTGTGATTGCAGGTAGTTTGGCTTTATAGGCTGAATGGCTGCCTGCTGCGGGAGGATCAAAGGCCCCTGCAGTGTCTGAGTTTACAGTAGCATAGGAAGTGCAGTGGCCATGAGGCAGACACACAAGGCCTGCGTGAGTAAAACTCTTTAAATTTCAATGACTGAATGTCCTCCTTCCCATCTGTCCTTCTTTATTGTGTCTCTCACCCTCTCCTTTTCTCTCCTTCTCTCTTTCTCTATCTGTCAGTCTTTTGCTCTTGTGACAAAAAGAGGTTAACTTTTAGATTCTTACAATTCTTTTTAATTGATTCCAATTGTTGGATGGTATGTTGAGCGTTGTTAAATCCAGCAGAGAGTCTGCGAGTGTTTGGATGATTGCAGTGTAACACGCAAACGTGCCAGCTCACCATGAACTCAGATACAATTCTGAGTTCAGCTCCAGACGAACCACCAGCTCTGGTTTTTCAGCTTTGACATTTGTCAGCCAATTGCTTTTTTGCGTAAATTAACAGTAACTTACACTGTCATGGTTGTACGTGCATAATGACTATGTCTTTATTTTAAGAGTGGCAAAGTGTTTCATTTTTTATTTTCACTCTGCTCCCAGGGAGGGACATATTTTGGGTTTCTTTTTCTTTCTTTTCTTTTTTTTGGAAATGCCTTTCTTTCCCCCTTTTCTCTCCTGACATTTTTTGAAGGATTCTTTTGGGGAATTTTGGTTCTGTGTTTGTTTGTTAAACCAATTTAACGACTTTGAACAGCAAAACATTGAGACATCAAAATTCCCTCAAGGCATTTTTTTGAAAGTAGAATGCCACACAAACAATTTGTCCCGTTTTTCTCGCTAGATCTGTGTGAAAAAAAAAATAATTTGTATGAATAAGACGTATATTTTTGCATCAGTTATTGAATTCCCAAAGAGTTATTAACACTGAAAGACGATCGATTTGTCAGGTCCTGTCTGCTGGACTTCATAAATACAAGACTGTTGCAAACAGTGCTGAAGCCTCGCAGCTCTCTTTTTATTTATTTCGTCTTATAGTGCAGTGAATACCTCCCAAACTCATGAAAGCCATCTGATTTTAAGGTTGTGACCAGAAACTCACAGTTGTTTCCAACCTTTTGACTTATGTTGTGTATGGATATGGACAAAGACTGCGCAGAAAATGAATGGAAAAAGTGAACAGAGTTCAGACGAAAACTTTGAGGGATGTTTAGACTGCCTGCTGCTCAAGACCACTTTAAAGGCTTACAAGGATTGCTAGGTCTTTGGATGCAAAACATTAGTAAAATAAACTTGGTTGGAAACTATTTTCTAACCTACAACCAAAAAAAGAAAAGAAAAACAGCTGTTGTTTGTCTGGTTATTTACAGGTCTTCCTACAAGTACGGCAGAAATATTGCAGACTATTTAATCCCCCTTTTATATCTAAAGCTTTTCTTTCGATGTTGACACCTAGAGCCACAGCCAGAGCTTTGTTATAGTTTCCGCTATTACTGCAGAGACGCAGTCCGCTGTCCACACGTTAAAAGCATTCCTGGAGAGAGATGAGCCTTTCTGTCTATGCTCTTCACCCAGCGACATGTCTGCATGTATGTTTGGAGAAGGAACATTCACCTCGCTCTATTCTTAGCGCAGCTTTAGACTGCTTGGGTTTAGCTTTTGCTTTCTAAATTCCACAATAATTGGGGATCTCTCGGGATAGAGCCTCACAACATTAACTCCAACTATAAATAACTGCAGAGCCTACAAACACAAACTCTACTCGTGTGCACAAACAAGGTAAAAAAAAAATAAATAAATAAAAGCTTGAATGGCTCCCTGCATGAGTTTTGAGGAAGATTTGCAGTTTGAGTTTGGAGGAAACAATTGTCCAAAAATTCCTGTGCAAAGCCCAAAAGCATTCTCCCCATGTCATGCACTGTGCAGCAAAGAATTGTGAAGTTTCGTCTGCGGTAACAGGCTTCCCTCCCACTCTGAGCTGTACCTGTCTCTAACTGGGTCCTGCTTACTCTCTGAGTTAGCGCTGTGAAATTCAACACATGGCAACAGGATGTATTCTGTTCCTCTGAGATTTAAACTTGTTGCTTGGTGTCTGCTTGTAAATATTGTTGTCTGAAGCAAGTCTGAGAGACTTCAGACAAGAAATATTCTATCAGGTAATTGGTGATGGGGCCTGTGTGTTTGCTGGGTTCTAAGGCCTCAGGTGTGGCTCAGTTCTCGTCCAAATCGATGGTGATTTCAGCTAATAGTTGTTTTTCACCATTTTGTGCGAGTTTATTGCCTCA